GAGGCAAGCCCACAACAGGGAGAGAGGAAAGGAGGAGAGAGAAAAGTGAAGGGCAACAGCTAGAAAAGTAAAGAAACATGTTTCCTCAAGTTTTGAACCCGAACACTGAGATCTGGGTTTAAGGGCATGGGGCTGCCAGCTGCTGCTATAAATAAGTCAGGCTTATATTTGCACATATAATATGCAGACAGACAGATGAAATATACACACACACAAATACACAATGTGGCAAACCTTCCACCACACATCCTGACCCCCGCCCCTTCCTTACTCTCTAAGATCTCTGCCTTGTGACTCTGCCCCCTAAGACTGTGTCCAATACACACTTGAGCAGGAGCCTTAGGAAGAGAGGACTACACTGTCAGGTCACCCAGCTCACACCTCCTGAGGACTAGTCTAATTATGATGTTTATTTTTGTAATCAGGTAGACAACTGCAGAAAGACCTGTCTTATGCTTTGTCTGAGACCACCTCAATTGTGTGTGTGTGTGTGTGGTACACGGGCCTCTCACTGCTGTGGCCTCTCCCGTCGCGGAGCACAGGCTCCGGACGCGCAGGCTCAGCGGCCATGGCTCATGGGCCCAGCCGCTCCGTGGCATGTGGGATCTTCCCGGACCGGGGCACGAACCCGTGTCCCCTGCATCGGCAGGCGGACTCTCAACCTCTGCGCCACCAGGGAAGCCCACCTCAATTTTAATATTGGTGGTTTTACTGTTGTTATTATTAGTGATAATAGGAGTAACTTATCTGTCTAGGATTTTACAGTTTGGTGTGCGCTCTTATGTGCATTATTTCAGTCGGTCCTCCTCTTACTATTAATCAGCACCAAGTTTTTAATTTCTTATTTTTCATTCTGAATGACCACTCACTCTTCCCAGAATACTTTTCAAGTGGTTTCTAAAATAATTTGCTACCATGGACATTGTTAACACTCACAATTAGGCATCTAATACTGAGTAGGGAAGAGTAAGTAATGTGGAGATGGGCAGCACTAACTTTTTATTAGGTTCTTCTTGCTCAGTGGACACAGTCACCTTAATGCCCGGCTCTCTTTATACACTTCTCTGGCCATAACTGTTCCTCTAATAGTAGGGGGAGTGGGCTTGTTAAATTCAGAGTTTCTGGGTACTATCTTCTTTACTCAAAGCCCTCACTGAAGAAACAGTCATTTAAAATCTACTGGCTGCCAGTTTGTTTCAAATAGCCTGCTGAAAAACAACCTCAACTTAGGATCTAAGTAATCTTGATCTTTTAGCAATGTAGCCAAATCTTGTCCAGGACTTTGAAAATGATCTCAGAACAAATAAACATGGACCAGAGGAACAGGCAATGCTAAGCAGTCAAGTTGAAACAGAGACCTTATTTCAATCAATCAAACAATACATTTTTAAAAAATTCCTCCCCTGTTTCAAGGAACATTCCAATTCCTGTTTTGGCTAAACGCTGGTAATTTTCCAATGAATCTTCTAAATCTGTGAACTAAATCAATCCTTAGATCCGCCAGCAAGCATCCTACCTCATCTTTGTCCACCTCCTCATCAACTTCATAGACATGAACTGGAAGTTTATCCAACTTGGCCACTTTGCTTTAAAAAGAAGAAAGAATCTTGTTTTATAATTACCTAATCTATGAAGAGATGCTGCATTTCTTCCCCCATCAAAGGAACCAGCATTTAATAAATCCAAAGCTGGCCCACTTGGCTAAAGAATAAAAACAATAGATGAAGTTGCTTTTCAAAATGGGTGATCCAAGAGTTAGAGAGCTCCCAAAAGCTAGGCAGACAAGACGGCATGGCTTGTTGGGAGTTACGCAGATTAAAAATGGGAAAGTGTATTAATACATAAACACATGGTAGAATAACTTTTAATACGAAGTTTAAATGAGGTCACTCCATTTGAAGTGACTGGAAACCACAGTCTTAATGATGATGGTGTTAACAACAAAAATAGGACAATAACGATATCAGTCATTAAACAGTTATTATGTGCTAGGCACTGTGCTGCACTTCACATGTGCTACCTCCTTTAGTCCTTTAGATGGTGGGGGCTGGTGCTAAGACCACTTAATAGATGAGGACACTAAGGCTTACAGAGGGCAGAGTAAGTAGATGATGCAGGCCGACTACAGAGTCTATGTTCTTAATCACTGTTACAACCTTCGCCTCCTTCTCATCACACAACTGAAATTCTTATTAACGCCAAGAGGTAAAATCCACCAGCAGTAGAAGTATATCGTATAAAATACACTGTATCCCCGGCCGGTTCTCCTTCAGTCATGAGAAGAGCATGAACAAACCTATCAGTGAAGATAGCTTTACCGACCAAACAGGAAGAATTAAGTCCCCAAATAAGTACTGGGTACATACAGAAGTAAGGAGCATACCCATCTGGACAATGCTGGAAGGGAGTGTTCTCAGCCGAGGTTTAAAAAGAGGCAATTGGGAAGTTGGCTGGACACTCTTAAGGAGTGGCTGAACCACACAAACAGAAAAAACAAACACCTAGGTCCACTGAGAATAGTATAAACTGTTCAAACCCACAGATGCAACAAACCCTAAGAAAAATTTATTAATAGGGTCTTAATTAAAATTTTTATTGGCAACGGTTACTTTTGAAACACAATCCATCATTATTTGCTTTCAATTTTCATAATAAACTAAAATCTGCCAACTGTGTTATTTCAGGATGTACCATTTTATAAAAGATACCCTCTCAAGGCAAGACCTATCTATACCTGGTTTACTTTAACTACTGCTCATCAATCTAAACACACTTGCTTTTGGTATATTTTAGAATGAGTTAATACTTTAAAGGAGGTAAAGAAATTTGGGAAAACGCTTGTTCTTTGATGTACATTTTTTTAATATAAAATTTGTTCAATATAAAATGCTTTTCATGTCTTTTCAAAATATTCTTTTTAAGATAAAACACACCTCAGCATATTTCAATACACTTAACATTTTGTTTTCTGTTTCTCACTGAAAAAAATCTCACCTGTTTTTGTTTCATCAGTGGTACCCTGAGCAGAATCGCTGAACATAATGAAACCATCCATGTGTTTCTTACCATCTACCAATTCCCAGAGTACTAGGTTTGAGTACTATTAACAAATACCCTGTAAACAATAGCTAACCCATATAGACACAAACCATCCAGAAATATTTTCTCTAACCACTCTGACTGCATGTGAAGTTATACATCTCCCTAGGCATTTCAAGTACAAAGAACTTTCCCTGTGTGTATAACCCCATCTTGTGTGGTCTGATCATTTACTCACTTTGGAAGGTGTCGAAACTCTCCTGAGTAATCTTCATATTTGTAGCTCACAAGATGCCAGTCAGAGTTATAGGTTTTGATGCACTATTTGGGGGTGGGGGTGGGGGCGGAGAGCATAAAACAAAAAAAAGCATAAGAGAAAAAGAAAAAAGACGTGATGACTTTTGGAGAACATTTGGGAAAGTTTATGAATGCACACCCACACCAATATCAAAAAAATTCTTTCCCCTCAACCCTCTCATGCCTGAAATGCCACCATTAGAGGTTCCTATGAAGCTTAAGAACCACTGAAAACGTTACACTTGGGAGAGGGGTCACTTAAGTCACCGTTATTCATGATCCGAGAGCAGATGTTACAAGGAGACAAACCTCACCTCCTCCCGCTGCATTTACATAACAATGTGCTGTTTCTGACTTAAAACCACTTGGCTCCTAAGAAGTCAAGTGGGCTTCTAGAAGAACACGAAAGTAAATGGAAAGTGTGAACCGAAAGATACTTTCACAGTATTTACTAATATTAAAACTTGCTCATTAGTCAATATTACATACATTTGCCCTCAGATTTTCATTTTCTTTATAAGGGACAGTGTGAGGTAACTAGGAAGAAAGATTTAGGTTCCACTTCACAGTGGCACCATGACCTCTTCACGTGTACATGTGTGCATGCATGTGTACAGATGTACAAAGTATGGAGCAGTCCATTGCCCCGATTCCACAGTGACACCAACCTACGCGGACTGCATTAAACTACCTCGCTATCTGACAAGCTCGACCAACCAGCACGGTGTCTTTCATTCATCTGCCCAGGAGGATCCACTGAGTAGTGTGTAGAGTCTTAAGATTATAAAGTCTCCTCCGCCAGATCTTCAAATATGAATGAGTCAAAATCAACAGGTGAAGCATTTGATTTATTTTCCATCAGCGAACTTGCTTTTTCGTATGGACAGCTCTAGACTACACATATATAGATGTCAGTGTGGCAAAAAAAATGAATGAATAAAGTGAAAACATAGGTAGTTAAATGTATTAGTCGTACCAAGTTGGCTTGACTCTGGCTGTAACATCATGAACAAAGTCTCTATTCTGTTTACTTCACTTTGTTGTTGATACTGTGAACCTTTTTATCTATTTCCTACTTCATGCCCCAAGGCTTTCTGAAGCAAAACCCCAAGGTCATGAAAGTAACTACAGCTAACGCCTCTCCGGCCAGGCTCTACACTAAGCACCCTATTGGCAAGGTTGTGAACGGAAGGTAGAGTAAGTTTTTTATATTATCATATTCTGAGGTGGAATGAAGAGCAGAGAAGGGTTAAAAACAAAGTCAGATGTGGGAGCTGAACAACTTTTCAATTTCTTTGCTATGTAGTTACAAATGTTTTTAAATACCACTTTATTCTTATAAATGCTTTTTTTTTTAATTTCAAAGCATGTTCACATTTGGAACATCAGACATCCACACTCAAAATCACATTCCAAAACCAGTATGACTTCAGAATCGTCTGTAGGTTTGGGTTTTCCCATCCTATCCCTGGGTCCATTAGCACAGCTAAGTCAGGTCAGACTATGTATGACACAGTCTTGTGGACATGCTCCTATTATCTTTGTTCTGGTTTTTCACCAAGCCCTTCCACTTCAACTTTCATACCACCAAAGTCTCTTGTAGGATATTAAACCTATTCCGAAGTATAAAATGTACCTGTCCAATTAAAAATAAATAAATAAGTATACACTTGTACATAATCGGTGCATTTATGAACAGAACACCTGAGTAGCCAGATTTTTAATATCTTAGGGAAAATGGGTAAGAAAGATAATTACAGTGTTTAAATATTTTAAATTATAAGGAACTGCAAAAAACACAGTTAACTAAAAACAAAAAACACACAGTTAACCAGGTTAAGTAACTGGCGTCACTCATTTAATAAGCCATTGTTGACCACCCACAAGGCAGGCGCAGGCTAAATTCCAAGGCAGGTGCACAGAACGAGGCAAGCAACCCGCACCCCTCTGGAGGTGTAGAAAGTCTAGGAGACAAGGGGTTCAATCAGAAATCAGTATGCAGAGAACTGCATCTCTAAAGAGACAGGGATCTGACTGGGCTGATTTCATGACTGACCTTTCAAACTTGTGAAATTCAATAATATTTTGAAGTTATACTGGAAGGTTTTTGAAGTTTTGTTTTGTTTTGTTTAAAGCCATTAGGTCATCCTCCTGTGGACAAGAGTACGGGGCGGAAGTGCTGTTGCACTCCACCCTGGTGGAAGAGGCCCAAGAGGGTGTAGCTATGCTGGCTCCTGCCCCACAGGGTGAAGTCGCTATTGCCCAACCTGCAGCGATGAGAGAACTTAATGGAGAGTTGTCCCTCAAACATAATTTTTTTTTTAAGAGACTGGGAGAACTGAATTAGTAATTAACAATTTTACTATATGCTTTAAAACAAGGATCAACAAATTTTTTTCTGCAAAAGGCCAGATAGCAAGTATTTTCAGCTTTGAGGGACACGCTGTGTCCACTGCAGCCATTGGTGTCTGAGCTGTGGTGTGAAATAGTCACAGGCGTATGTGAGCGAGCAAATGGGTGCAGCTGTGCCGCGGTGTACCTTTCTTTACAAAAACAGGCTGCAGGACGGTTCACCTAATGTCCTGCTTTAAAATAAACATTTGAGACTCTGTAAACATATTTGGCTGCGTCTGTCTTGCATTAATGTTACGAATAGAGTGGCAAAGGAGGTAAGACAAGAAGTTACCTTTTCAGAATGATAAGAGAACACACTTCAAAAATTTTAACTACACATTCAAGTTTTCAAAAATCTCAGTGAAACTAAATGTTGTTATTGTAATGGGCCTTCGCTTAGAACAGCATAGCTTCCTTGTAGTGGGCAAATTTATTGATGGGCATATTTAGCTCCTAAATATCAACTAGAAAAATGGGGATAAAAATACACTATTTTTTTTAATGAAGGAGCACTTCAAGAAACAAAATTAAAACACCTAACTCGTTCATCCTATCTAAAGGCACCTGGAGGAAGAAACAAACACCTCAAGACAGAAAAAGCAAGCAATCTCAAAGCAATAATTTTTCTTTCCTCCTTAACGAAAGAGTCGTCTTCTGTATGTTCAAACAAAAGTAATAATAATCATATACTGATCAGGGATAGTTAGGCTCTGCTCATTGTTACCTGGTACTTCCTGAATACTGAACTAATCTTGATAATAAATTACAAGTATAAACATATAAATGAAGTCAATGAATACATAAATGCATGTGCTGAGTCTCCATTAAAGACAATATCAAAGTCTGCTAGATGTCCAGTGAGTACATTCACAAGTTACTCCTATTCTAAGGCTATGAGATAAGTTTTGTAGAATTCATGTTTTGTCATCAAATTGACCCCTGTTGACATTTCTGTCCAAGTTTCAGACTCTGAAAACTTATTATTTTTCTATTCTAACTTCCATCATAAAAATGTAATTACCTCTTTGACACTTTCTTGAAAATATCACTGAAATTTTTAAAAGGGGAGGAGGTATAGAAGAAATACATTACCTCTGTAACAAATAAGCTCTGAGCTTCCTGCTGTGCGTTGGCAGGGATGGTGGAGCACACGTACCGCCCCTGTCGTCTCAGGATGGCCGTCTGTGAAGGAAGCACCAGGACACGACTCGGTTAAGTGAAGACGTTAAGGCGCCAGCCTCCCAGGGCAGTGGGGCCCTTCCCCTTCCTCTGCAGTCGCACCCCGTGGACCCCAGACTCCAGCTGGCTCCTTAAACTTCAAAAGGTGGGGGCAGTGGCTCCCAAGTCCTTCTGGATCACGGGCCCAAGGACCCCTCCAGGCAGGAAAGAGGCCCCTTTCAGAGACCCTAACACTCCCCCACCCCACGTGCTTGATCTAGTCCCACGAAGTTGCCTTTTACTTGCCTGGATTGCGGCAGTTTTAAAACTGTGGTAAAACAGACATAACATTCACCATTTGAACCATTTTTAAGTGTACAGTTCAGGGGCATTAAGTACATTCACATTGTTATACATCCATCTCTTAACTGCCTTTTACAACGGTTCTTATTCATTGCCACATCCGCAGTGGGACCCGTAGCAGGTCCTTAATATCTGCTGACTGAATCTGTGACTGTGAACACTACCTTCCCTCCTGTAACTGAGAACTGCTCCTGTTTCATGAGGCTTATTTATTCTAAATAATAAAATCTCTCACGACTTTAGGCAGCAACACATCTACCCTAATTAACACTGTAGTGTAGGGACTGTAATGTCAATTCGAGTTAACTAGGCCTTGGGCTTCAGGAAGGAATGTTCTAGATTTTTTCTCCCATGGACTGTAATCCTTGGATACTATTAACAGATCATAGTTATAAAAACAGCACACAAGAAACCAGCTTGGTTCCTGAGGCTAATTACTAAGCTGGGATCTCTCAGCATCTGTCCCATCTGTTTTTCTTCTTCCTAAGATTGGAGGAAACTTTGGGTCAGATCTGTGGCCCCTCCTCTGCCAGCACAGGGGAAGAACTCCAGAGCATACATTTTTTAATCATCTTATTTCCTGCCCATTTTGTCTCCTTGTTGTGTCTGCTTCACCTGTCTTTACTCTTTGCTTGCACTGTGACCATCTTTGAAAGCAATCTTAAATCCTACTTTTACAATAAGGCTTCCTTATTCTACGGGAAGAGAAGGAAGGAACTCTGTTCTCTACCAAAGTCCTTCACAGGTGAATTATTAATTCATTCAGCCTCCTCCACGAGGGCTTTCAACACCCTGGCTCTTGGCTTCTTTGTGAAAGTCACAAATGGTGACCCTTCTTACACACCTGGTTCCATGAAATGCCATAGAAATGAATGACAGTAGGCACTGGAGGCATAATCTATTCAGAAAGCTTCAAAGTAAAACATCGATTGTCAAAACTGTTAAGAATCAGGTATACCAGTAAAGGGAAATTAAGAAATTATGTGCACTTCAAAGAAGGACACATTCTATACCCCCACTTACTGCATCCTTATCTTGATTTATTTGGGTCTATCACGATTTTTTGAAACTAATTATCATACTTTAAAAATGTTCATGAAATGGCTCAGGTCAAGAAATAGGACTATTAGGGTCACTTCCAGCTCATTCCCCATCAGAACATTAGGAAGAAATAAAATTTCTTACAGAATTTTCCTAGTGGAATTACCAACTCAAGAAACTTTAATTATGTGACACTTTTCCAAACACCCCTTTAAGGTAAGAAAAATAATAGGAAATGAAACCTTTTTATTATTGTGGATCAAAGTGCATTACGTATTCAATTTAAAAAGAAAGCAACTTTACTCATTAAAGATAGACGACTTTTAACAGATAAGAGAGCACTGGGCATAATTAAACCAATCATCCATGTGTTTATTACCACCCACCAATACCAGAAGGGTGTAAGAAAGAAGCACAGGCTGGTACGAGAGGAAAGAGTCTAAGAGGGGAGTCTAAACCCGACAGGGAGGACATCAAGAAGATGAAGATGTGCACTGAGGCAAAGATGCTTACGCTACACTGTACAGGATGAGCACAAGTTGTGTTTAGCACAAAAAGGAAGAGAAATGTGAAGATAAGCCTACCCTTAGAAAGTTAAAATAACAAAATCAAGTCATAATAGATGAGATTAGCTTTTTGCATACACATAAAAAGCAAACCCATTAAGTCCTAGAATTAAAAAATTATACGCCAAAGAAAAAACTGCCTAAAACTCTAATTAGCTTGAGTTAAACATCTCTAAAACCACACCAACCTGCAGCCTAGTCAATGGTTTTAACTAGGGAAAG